CTGACCAGGAATCGAACCCTGATTGCCTGGATCCTAGGTTGATGCTCAACCACTGAGCCATGCCCAGCCGGGCAATATGTCTTTATTGATTTTAGGGAGAGGAAGGGAGAGGGAGAGAGAAACATCAATGATGAGAGTCATTGATTGGCTGCCTCCTGCACGCCCCCTACTAGAGATTGAGCCTGCAACCGGGGCATGTGCCCTGACCGGGAATTGAACAGCAATCTCCTGGATCCTAGGTCGATGCTCAACCACTAAGCCACGCTGGCCGGGCCGCACTTCACTATTGACAGTTCGTGCCCATTCGTTTTTTTAAATCCTCACCTGAGGACATTTTTTCCATTGCTTTTCAGAGAGAGTGGAAAGCGGGGAGAGAGAGAGAAACATTGATGTGAGAGAGAGACATCTATTGGTTGCCTCCTGCAATTGCCCTGACTGACCAGGGAGGGGGGTCGAGTCTGCAACCAAGGTACCTACCCTTGGCTGCAATTGAACCTGGGACCCTTCAGTACACGGACCGACGCCCTAACTACTGAGCTGTACTTTCTATTCTGTTCTACTTAATATCCCCAGTTTTCTATATTTATCATTCAAAAATCCCATGTCAGCAATCTTAGTTATTAACTGTACTAACATAATAACTCATTTATTTTGAACCACTGATACACCACAGGTCTCAAAATTAACATTACTAGTAACAAAAAGATTTATGAAAGTAGCTTTTCCCTTTTTTGGGGGGGGGGGTCTTTGTGGATAATCTCACGATGGATTTTAAAGTCATTTGGAATGTTTTCTGTTTGTGGGTTTATAACCACCAAGTCCATACCAAGTTAAGTTCATTTGTTTCATTTTACTTTTTTTATTTTTAGGGATTGCCTTTTTTGTGTTACTTAATTTTGTTTTGTAAAATATATTTACATGGTTTCAATATCAAATCTAAAAACAGGGAGATGCAGCCAGAAGTTTGGCTTCTTTGTCTTGTCTCACCCTAATCCCTCTTGCTCCATGGGTTACTGTTTAAACAATTTTATAATCTATCCTTCCATTGTTTTTCCGTGTGTGTGTTGTTGTTGTCCTCACCCCAGGATGCTTTTTTCCATTGCTTTTGAGAGAGAGTGGAAGGGAGGGAGGGGTGGGGTGAAGGAGAGAGAAAGAAACATCCATGTGAGAGAGACACATTGACTGGATGCCTCCCGAATGCACCCCGACGGGGTGGGGAGCAAACTGCAACCCAGGTACGTGCCCTTGACCTGGAATCGAACCCGTGACCCTTTAGTGCATGGGCTGATGCTCTAACCACTGAGCAAAACCTTTTTTAATATAAGGAAATACACCTATGGCGTTATAACCACCCCTTTTTAGATAGGTATCATTCTGTATAAACTTTTCTTCCCCTTGCTTTTTACTTTTTACTATTATTACCTATATGCCAGGAATGATGAGGACATTTTAAACAGTGACCTGTACTATTAAGATAATAATAGAAATGCCCTCTGGACTGTTAATAAGGAGGCTACACCCTTAGACAACAAAATATTCAGTCCACTTCATGGCAGCAGAGGTGATACCTGTTTGGCGAAAGTCTGGCTGTCCTTCCCAGCTCACCTCCTGTCTGTGTCCCATCCAGATGTCAGTGTTGGCCCCTTGGCTCTGTTTCTCCAAATAACGATAGTCTGTGCTGAAGAACGGCTCACAGAACAGACATTCTGCTTGTTCCTGGAGGACCTGGGGCAGTAGCCTTTCGGAGTGCGACAGAGCAGCGAAGATCCCAGTGCCAGGAGCGCTCCTTTCCCCTCAATACCATCCTAGAAGTTGCTTTGTCAAAACAAGAAGGCTGTGGCTTCACGCTCAGCAGATCTCTAGTGAATGGCTCCCTTCTTTTCCTGCAGATACTGGGAGAACATAATGATTTCGTGTGGCTTATATTCCCTATGCTGTACTTCCAATCCCGGTGACTGTTCTGTACTGCCAATTTGTACTTAATCCCTTCTCCTTTTTCACTCAGTTTCCAATCCCCCTTACCTCTGGCAACTGTCGGTCTGTTCTCTGTATCTATGAATCTGTTTTGATTTTGTTTGTTTGTTAGGGAATCCGAATCTCCTGCCCTATTCTCCTACACACCACAGTCTTTCTTCCTCCTCAGTTTAATAATTGTATCTTAAGCTCTTTAGTGCAAAGTGTTCCGCTCTTGGCTCTCGCTTTGTAGCAGACTAGAAATTATGTTTCTTATGCTGAGTGACTAATAACAATACTGTTGTCCTAATGTCAATATGAATTTATTTCATCTTGTGTGAAACATTAATCGAACAAGTTCAGGTGCAGGGCAGCGGAGCCTATTATTCATTTCTTTTTTTTTTTTAAATCCTCATTTGAGGATATTTTTTCCATTGCTTTTTAGAGAGAGTGGGAGGGAAAGCAATAGAGAAACATCAATGTGAGAGAGACACATTTATTGGTAGCCTCCGGCACGCTCCCTGACTTGGGCCAGGGTTAGAGCCTGCAAACGAGGTATATGCCCTTAGTCAGAATCGAACCCGGGACCTTTCAGTTCACGGGCCGATGCTCTAACCACTGAGCCAAACTGGCTAGGGCCCCATTATTCATTTCTTAAGAGCAGGTTCCTATTCATATACACACCCTTTGTTTTTGGTGCTTTTCTTCTAAGCTTGTTTTCTAGGGTTCTTTAATTTTTTTTAATATAGTTAATATCTGGTATGAGAGAAAATACAGATTTTTCTTAGAAATACAATCTAAAAGTTTTCTAGCATAGAATAAACTGGCTGTTTCATTGTATCTATATGGGGTATGGGATTGCCGGTTAGTTCTTATAAGGCCTCACCCAGTAATTAGACCTTTCTCTGCATGTATATGCATGTGCTCTGTCACTTTCTAGGTAGAGCCACAGTTAACAACAGCACAATTCCCAGGAACTCCTCTTTGTAGGAAAAGATCTGCGAAGCTGAACTAGGTGTTTCTCTTTTTTTTTTTTTTTTTAACACATATATCTTTATTGATTTCAGAGAGAGGAAAGGAGAGGGAGAGAGAGAGAGATAGAAACATCAATGATGAGAGAGTCATTGATCGAGCCCACAACCTGGGCATGTGCCTTGACTGGGAATCGAACCCCGATCACCTGGATCCCAGGTCGACGCCCAACCGCTGAGCCATGCCTGGCCAGGCGGTATTTCTCTTTTTTGAGCCTTTCTTCTTACAATCTGTTCAATTTTCTGTTACCTTAGAATTATCTTAAATTTTTTAAAGTTTTGATAAATTTTGTCAACAAGTATGAGCCTGTCTTTTAAAATAAAGTGTCCATAATATATCTGGTCTTAGCTGAGTCATTTAAAAAAACAGTAAGTTTTTACTTAAAGAAATAAAATTTAAGTACAGCAGTGTCATTTGGTTTATAAAATGGAACTTGAGTCCCTCTAGTGGGTAGAGTATAATTCACTTTCCAAGCTTGAAATACAAAGATGACAGTCTTGAATTACGTGGCACCACCTTTCAAATCCACTATGCTCATCAGTACTGGTGTCCCCCCTCCCCAACTGAGAGGCAGTGCTTAGCTAGTCACTGTATTGGCTCTAGCATTAGACAAGATTCAACAGTCCTCTCTGCCCATGTGATCTTAGTACCCTGGTCATTTTACAAGCTGTGGCTCACCAGCTTCTTTCTTTCAAGCCTCAGCAAGTATAAACGCAGAACATGTTGGCGATTTTAAGCCATGCAGTTCTTTATAGAAAAGAACACAGTGCCTTCAGGGTCTTTGAGTTGCCATTAAGGAAATAATTATGCAGGCCCATTTAGGATATTTAGTTGTTGGAGGAGTTGTTTCATACCGATAGCCAGAACACCAGAAGCATGGTGTGGCAGAAGGAACCTGGGTTTGGGAATCATATCCTAACTTTGAAGTTACTACCTATATGACCTTGAGCTGGTTACATAGCCTCTTTGTATCTTAATTTTCCCTTCTGTAAAATGGGGAGGTGATAAACCTATTTTCCAGGGTTAAGTGTTAAAATTACATTCAGCCCTGGCCGGGTGGCTCGGTTGCTGGAGTAACATCCTATACACCAAAGGGTTGCAGGTTCGATTCCCAGTCAGGGCACATACCTAGGTTACGAGTTTGGTCCCCAGTCAGGGCATGTGAGGAAAGCAACCAACTGATGTTTCCCTCTCACATTGATGTTTCTCTCTCTCTCTCTCCCTTCCTCTCTGTCTAAAAATTAATACAAAATATCCTTGGGTGAGGATTAATAAAAAATAAATAATAAACATGCAAAGAATGCCTTTTGTGTTCTGAGTGCTCTGTGATTGGTAGCAGGAGTCATGGAAATTTCCCAAGCTGAGTTCATTGTAATGCATTAAATTATTTGGATAACTTTCCCCTCTTCTCTCATGCCTTCTTTTTCTTTCAGTCACCACCAAGTAAGCGAAGAAAATTAGAGAGGCCAAGGAAACCCATCACATTTGTAGTGTTGGAATCTGTGATGAAAGAATTATCCCTCAAAGCGTCGCCTCTGGGCTCTGAGACAGTGGAAGGAATAGTAGTTGTGACAACATGGATTGAAAAAATTCTCACTGATCTGAAGGTACCCAGTTAAGCATATTGAAGAAGTTCTTATAATCCCTTTTTAATTTTATTTTCCTTTTTTTTTAAAGGAGTTTGAGAGTAGAGAAGTGACTGCCTATACAATTCTGGTTTTTCTCCAAACAGGTCCAGCATAAACGAGTTCCCTGTGGAAAGGAGGAAGTCAGCCTTTTCCTAACAGCCATAGAAAACTCCTGGGTTCACTTACGGAGAAAGAAAAGAGAAAGAGTGAGACAGCTGAGAGAAGTGCCTCGTGCTCCTGAGGACGTCATCCAGGCCTTGGAAGAGAAAAAGGTCGCCCCCAAAGAGCCTGGCAGGAGCCAGGATTTGGCCCAGGACACCCAGGAGAGTGCCCCGTGTGGGCCTGCTCCACAGGAAGGCGAGCCAGCCGCTGTAGAGGGCTGTGACCCAACCCGGGATTCGCTGTCCCGGGAAGAGAGCCCAGAACCCATGGAGGACGGAAGGAGCGAGGAAAAGGGGGAGGGGGAAGGGGAGGGGGGGCGTAAAGGCCCTGGCAGCGGAGCCCAGGACCCAGAGGCTTCTGAGCAGTTCATCAACCCAGTGTCTGAAAAGGGGGACCACCTCCAAGGAGTGGCTGGACGTTACCTTTTCAAGTGTTTGATAAACATTAAGAAGGAGGTAGATGATGCCTTAGTTGAAATGCATTGGGTTGAGGGTCAGAACAGGGATTTGATGAACCAGCTTTGTACCTATATACGTAACCAAATTTTCAGGCTTGTTGCTAGTTAACTCCAAACTTCTTGCACAGTTGGGAAAGTTCAATAAAGCAACTTCCCTTGGAGTGGCCTGTGGGGTGGCAAGAGGAATTCTATCATGAGCCTGTTGGTAGCATTATGTGGAATTATCTTTACAAACAGAAACAAATGGATTCATTTTTAAACACACACACACCTTTTTTTTTTTAAGTTACAGGGCATTGTAGTATGGTAGTTAAGGAGGAAGAATTGTGGCCATCATCATCAACAAACAGCCATCATAAAACTCTTAAGGGATTTAAACCTGACTTAAACTGATCACGTTAGCTTTAGACTACTTCTCTGAGGCCAAAAGGATTATTTTTGGAATCTGGTCTAGGTCAGAACTCTACAGAGCATCATGCGTTCTCATCCCCCAAATCGAGGCAGAACACCAGATAGGCTCTGTACCCTCTTCTAGAGTCACCTTAAAGACTGAAGACTTTCCCTGTACATATGATTGACTGCTCCTGAGTCAGTCCTAAGAAAAGAAACCAGCCTGATGGTAGGTGGCAGGAGAGTCAGGGAGAGGCTTAGTAATGCCAGAAGGCCGATCTGGGGAGTACCTGGAGCTGTCACATTCCTGACTCATGTCTGCTTTGATGTTGCTTATTTCAGAAACAATTAGGTAAGCAGAACTCCCAGGTGGGACTGAGAAGCCATACCCCTACCTCCAGCCTGGTGAAAGTACTGTTTTGTAGCAGTTTTACTAGTGTATGACATTTGAAATGGAGCTTTGTTTTGTTTTTAAATATAAGAGTATTCTGAATTGAAAACTGTCCATCTTGTTTGAATCCTGGAGTTGGGGGAAATATTTTCTTGGCTTTAAATGGATAAATAATGATAGAAATAAGAAATGGATCACAATAGTTATGTTCAGTAGGTTGCTTAAATTCTCATCTATTGGCAGATAAATTGTAGCTAATCAAATACTGCTTTTTGTGGGTTCCTTAGTAATCCCCTCTGAGTTTACCTGTTAGCATAGGAGAATTCTGAGGCCAGGGTAACCATGTTCTTAAAACACATTTCTAACTGGAATGTCAGGGCTCAGCAGGAATGCCTCTGAAAAAGGAGTTTCTTTTTTTGTTCTCTTGGTGTTTGGGTTACTCTCTTCCAAGCCTCACTTTCAACATCCTAGTGTTCTATTTAGACTGAAATTTTTGAGTATGGTGCCAGAGTTCCTTGTTATCTGCAGAGAAGCTGGAACTGAGCAGTTAAGCCACACTTTTGAAAGGTAGCTATTGGTTCTGGCAGAATACTGATGACCTTGGCATATTTTGGCAGTAGCCAGGCCCAGCCCTCAGCAAAGATACAGGAAATAGAAATAGGACTATATAATACCTCCCTGTGGCAGTGGAGACAGCTGCAGAAGATAACATATTAACCCATCAGTGTTCTTAACCTGGTCTGTGAACCTTTAGAGAATCCTTAAACCTCCTGGATTGTTTTTAAAAGCTCTATGAGCATGTGTTTTTTGTGTGTGTGTTTTTCCTGGAGAGAAGGGTTCCTGACCTAGAGTCACACAGTGGGTCAGTAACCCACTAGGAACTCTTCTTTGGTAGGATGAGGAAACCAGTCTCTCCTAGGGTCATGCAGAACCAAGATTTAATCCACAGCCCTGGATTCCTCTGGTCTGATAATCTGTACCCGCCCACCCCGTCCTGCTGCGCTTGCTCTGATAACATTTGAAGCTCATGCCAGACCCAAACCAAGGTAATTTCTACCTTGATAGAATTTCAGGGTGATCTAGTCAGGTGGCCACTACTCCTTCAGTAAGTAGCCAGTAACTGTTTATTGTTTGCTTATTTGTTTCATTAAAAACAATAGCATGTGCTCTAAAGATATGGAAAAGTGAAAGAAACCGGTGGCAAAATCACTGCTAGTCTCAGCCTTCTCAACCAACCATTACTGGTACTTTAGTATTTCCTTCTAGTCTCTCTTTCTGTAGATGGGGTGTGTGATAGTGTGGGTTTAACTTTGGTTGTACTGCTGCGTATTCAATTTTATATTACGGTTTTTCATTTAACATCTTACAAGTATTTTTCCATGTTATAACAGTAGTGTATTTATTTATACTCCTTGCCTGTTCAAAATGTATTTCAGGTACAGTATTAGCCTTTGTTTAGATCTAGTACTTGGAGATTCCCAGAGAATAAGCTGTGTCACTGGAGGCACAGAAAATATGTCCAGTGTCTGTGAGTTTCATTGCCCCAGGTTTAATGCTTGGTGTCACGGAGGAGGTTTTATAGGTGTTGGTAATGCTCTTAGAGTTTAAAAACTACGTGACAAGGGAAGCTTCCACTGCTAGAGCTGTGAGTGCCTTTGCATTCGGATGTCTTCATTTCTTTCTCTGAGAAGAATAGTTTGTTTCTATCTAATGACAGAACATTGAAAATCTTTTTAAAGGACATCTAAAAAAAGTTATGTATGCATATACTTTATAATTGTATGGTATGTGATGTGACAGCATATACCTCTGGTACAGGGGGAAAGGGAATTTATTTTCTTTAAAGGAATGGGTTACTGCCCTGACCGGTGTGGCTCAGTTGGCTGAGCATTGTCTTGTGCACTGAAAGGTCACTGGTTTGATTCATGGTCAGGGCACATGCCCAGGTTGTGGGCTAGATCCCTAGTCCGGGTGCATGTGGGAGGCAGCCGATCCAATGTTTCTCTCTCACGTCGGTGTTTCTCTCTCCTCCCTTCCTCTCGCTCTAAAAAAAATCAATAACGTATTTATAAAAAAGAAGAAGAAAGAAATAGGTCATTGACTCGTGTGTCGTGTTGAATGACACTTGCCTTAAATATCTGGAGGTCAAGTTCATATTGATGGATTGATATGGAATTAAATCTCTGTGGTATTATCTTAAATTCTGTTCTGGTCCCTGGCACTGGCTTCTGATCTCTTATAACTCAAGTGGGAACAGAAGTTGAACTTGTTTTCCAAGGAGGACTAAAGCTGCTTTTGTTGTTTGAAATCTGCTTTGCTTCCAACAGTTTGGTTCCCTCACCCCACATCCTTGCCTGACTTTTCACTCACCAGAGCATTGTTCCATAACCTAGCAGGGTTGGTGTCTCTGCAGTAGAGTTTGAGCTAATCTTAAGGGTTCATGTTGATTACTTAAACCTTTAGTATGCATATATTTAAAACATGAAATCTCTCCTCTTATAGAATTCAAAGCTTATGATGTGAGCACAGCAACTTCTACAAGTAATAAAACTGCAAGGTGTGGAAAAGATGCAAAACCGGATGCCTCTTAAAAAGAAGTAGCCTCTCCATCTTAAACCGCAGCATTTTCCTCTGTGGCCACACGGGGGCACCTTTGGTCCTTTTTTCAAGCATCTTAACTGCACTATGGGAATGGATCTAATTGTTCCCTTGGTATTTTCTTGAAATACCCATTTGCTACCCAGGTAAATATTTTTATGTAAATAAATAGAAAGAAGAAGAAAAAATCCACTACCCAATGGTCTTTTTATCTGGGCATAATCTTTTATCTTTTTATGTTTCTTTATGATCCCAGTTGACTATTTTTTTCTTTCTTTCCATCTGTCCTGCTACTCTAGAATATATCCAGGATGGGTCAATCCTTTGGATCAAATTTTTATTAGTATCTAGTTAACTGGGGTACTGCAGGGGGATGTTTAGTGATCTTAAACAGTAACTTTTCAAAAGCATTATGTTCCAGGAAGAGTAATATAGAGAACTTGAAGAAGGAAACTGTTTTCAATGTTCTTTTGTCTTTTCATTCTTTCATTTTTCTGGCTGGTTGACTAGCACATGTGTTATGTGTTGTTTACATCAAAAGTTGGCACAGTTGCTTCTGTGCTGTGTATATTTTATAGGTTAGTGGGGCCTTCTTTCCCACAAGGTTGTTTCTATGTAGAACATACATATTACTAACCCTGGGGTCTGTGTGGGCTCAGGGAGAAGTCCCATCTACCCTTATTTTCATCACCCAGGATCAGATGTTATGGGTGGACACCCAAAAGATCTGCACATTAGGAAGAAGAAGGTCCATTTTGGGGAACTAAAGAGCCTTGGAGTAGGAAAGTCTCAAAGATACATCAGTTTTACAGCCATCCAGGAGGTACCCCTAGGAAAAGGACCTGACTACATTTTTTTTAGGGAAGTTAGTGCTTGGGAGATTTGGTTTGCTGAATGGGCAGTAACCCCAGTAAAACCCAGAAGTGACTTACTAGTAGAATGAATTGGCCTCTGCCTCCTGGAGCAGGGTGGTGATGGTCCTGAACCTTTCTAATGCTCCCAAGAAGAAATCACTTGGTGCTCATGCCAGCACAGTATTAGCCCTACATGGGGCTCATTCCACTAGCAGCAGGGCCTCACACACTTACCAGAGAGTTCCCATTTCTGCTCTGTAAAGGCATTTAGATCCTCTGCTGTGACTCACCCAAATGACTAAAACAGCAGTTTATTATTTTAATTGCTGGTTGGAACAGCTAATGCTGCCTTTTGGAGGCTATGCTTTTATTCCAAGGACTATGTTGTGACTGAGTGAAGGCCTTGCACCACCCACCGAATGCCCTTTGAGGTGTAGCCTACCCACCTGTCTCAGCTCAAGCAGAAATGTGAGGGACTCTTGGCTCTCCTCCGGGAAGTGGACGGTCACTGGTGCTCATTATGAGCCAGGGAAATAAGACAAGAAGGAATGAACTAGAAAGTGTGGGTGAACTTGGCAGAATTGGCTTGTATACGATGTTCTTAAGAGGGCGAAGGATGTTACATCTTAGGTGCTTTTCCACCGCCCTAAGGGAATGAAAAACAGAAAAGGGCACAGGCTTCACAGTCTGTCAGACCTCAGTTTACATTCCAGTTCCACTTACAGGGTAGGTAGAGTTCGCTAAGCCTTGGCTTCCTCATACAAAAGATGAGGAATTCTTGCTTCCCAGAGTTGTAGCAGCAGTTCAATGAGAGAAGTACTAAAACATCTGGAAGCGTACGTAAACAAAGAGTAGGCTTCTCAACTTGTTTATCTCTTTTTCTTCTTTGAGTTTTCAATTTCTAGTCAGAAAATTTTCCAGTAAACTCAAGTGAAAAGGCCAAGGCCTCAAGTATATAATTGCAGGTGTAGACTACCACCTTTTGACCAAAAGCAAAAGCGAAGCTTCCATGTACTGGAGGGATGAACAATATTGATTGGCCATCTTCTATATAAATTGTCTTATTTAGTAACCCTGCCAAGTGGTGTGGTGTCCCTGTGTGATAGCTTAAAAAAAATGGAAGCTCAGAGAACTTAAAGTGACTTGTCTTAAGGTTATTCGCAGAGCTGAGTCAGAGAAGTGGGATTTGAACTCAGGACCAGAGATTCACGATACAAAATCTCACAATTTGGCAGTAAACTTCCAGGCTAATTTGACCCACCTCTAGGGAAGGAGACGACAATTATTTGACACAGGGAAGAGAAAAAGCATCTCTTACCCAGCCTCACTGTTTCGTACTTTAAGGTAATATTATTTTCCAGCCTATGATCAATGAGCAAGATTTAATAAGTGAAGTTACTTGTAATTAGTTCTTAATTTATGCTACCAAATCTTCATAGAATTTTGTATTTGGCAGTAATGAAGATAATTAAGTAGTTAGTGAAACCACAAAATAAAATGTCTAGTTCATGTACATGTTGGATCATAATCAATGTAAAATAACTAAATAACTGATAATTAGGTAATGACTCTTAGACTATACCTAACTGTATGATAATTGAAGGATTTTTTAAATATTTTAGTAGCCAGCACTAAATATTTCACGTGCAGAACACAA